GGTTTCCAAAGATGTGCCTATTTAAGAAAAAAACCCACTGCCACTGAGTCGATTCTGACTCATAGTGACCCTCTATAGGGCTTCCAAGGCTGTAAATCTTTATAGTTGTTGTTAAGTGACGCTGAGTTGGTTCTATAGTGACTCATAGTGACCCTGTATAGGGGTTCTGAGGAGTGGCTGGTGAATTGGAACCACTGACCTTGTGGTTCAAACTGGCCTTGAGGTCCAGTGTATTATTCCATAGCACCGCACCACCCACCAGACAGCTGTATTCTCCTCCTGCAGAGTGGCTGGTGGATATGAACTATCGACCTGGTGGTTAGCAGTGCATCCGAGCTACTTGATTTAAGAAAAGGCACATTAAACTAGCTATCAAGCTACTAAGCTTGATGAAACTCTAAACAGGGAAACATAATACTTAGTTGAAAGGAAGCACATGTTCAAATGAATGAAAACTATAACGAATTCAAGAGTGTGGACTGGAAGTGAGGGGGGATGCACAAGAACACCCATACCCACTTGACCTGGCTTCAATGACTGGATGATCACAACTCGACTAGAAAAAGAAAGAAGAGGGAAAAAAAAAGAGTAATCTGCTACAATATGATGAACAGCTCAAAAGAGGGAACAAATCCTTACAGCGAGGATCATTCCCACCCTGTCGGTACACAGGATTGACAGGGATGGGCAACTTACACACTGGCTACCTAAAATGGGGGAGCTACAAAGGCAAGAAGTGATTGGGTTACAAGCTTTCAAGAGGGAGCCTAGTTCCAGAGGGTAGGGGGTAAGGTAGAATCTCCGCTGAGTGGTTTCTAACCTGTTGGGACGGGGCTGATGAAAGGAGATGGTGTTAAGACTCTTGTGGTACAATAGTGAATAATTGTTATCAGGACTGACTGTGAGGGTTGGAAATGTAAAGGTAGGTATTTTGTAACAAAAGGAGGGGAGTGGTTGATTTTGCAGTCTAGGAGTGGAGGTCCCTGGGAACATCAAGGGAGAAGAGTGGAGTATAGGACCCTACCCAGAGAAGCAGTGATGCCAGAAATGGAGGCAGAGACGATGACAGGGAGAGATGGGGACCCTGGACTCAGGGAGGGAGAGGGACCGTGTGCTGATGACCAGGGGGCAGGCCTGTGGTTGTTTGATGATGCACAGAGGGGATTATAATCATTGCAATGAAACAAAATACGATAGCGTGAATGTAAAACTGGTGTTCTCCCATGTAAACTATCACATAACTCACACACACAAAAAAAGGGTGTGCATCGGGTTTTTTTCTTTCCATAAGAAGTGAAGACAACAATCTAGAATCAAAAGCCAGCAGCTACTCCCGATGAGAAAACAAAACCTGAAGAGACTGTGGCCTCCTGTGCTGTGTGGTTGGGGTGCATGCTGCTTGTAGCCCTTGCTGAATTGACTCTTGTGCCCACCACATCTGGCTTAGACAGGGCACGTCTTGCATCAGTACAGTGTAGACCAACTATGCATTAACTTACCAGAAGTAGGTCTTTGCCTAGTTCATCAATATCGCTTACAAACTTCTCAATCGGTTGAGGAGATTTAGAATGGAACGCCTGCCTGGGAAGGGCAACATCTCGAGGCCAGTCCTCTTCTCCTGGGAGTCCAATTATGCTACAAACAAAACAAACACAAGCATTAGCTGCTAATTTTCAAAGCTGTTTTCCCATCAAACTATAGATGAAGGCGAAGTCTGAGGGACAGGTACTGGAGCTGTAGAGCCCCAGGTATCTCTCTGTCCTATTGCAATATGGTGACTATCCGGGAGAAGGTGACCTCGCAGCAGAATCACAAACTTCACTGGGAAGAGAAAGGAGATCACAGTGGCAACACAGACATTGAATCTAAGAGGTAATGTAAACCTGGAACATAGTATACCACCAGGGGGCAAGTCCTGGAGGATGCACAGGGGGAGGTCATGTGTTAGTCTATGCCCAAGTGCTTTTAGTGTTTTGATTGAACATCACAGTATCAGCATGCTCTCATCATGCTCATCCCACATGGTTTATTAACACTTACATTTGGTTGCATTTTTGATTACAGAATACTTCCCCAAACAGTAATAATGTACATACATTGGAATCACACAGACAGTCAGGGTAGTAGCTATGACAGTCTTGTCCTATGCTAACTTTTTTTAAAATATATGTAAAGGAAATCTATGATATTCAAAAGTGAGCAAACAATAAACAAAATGGATAGCATTTATGTTTGCCCTGAAAGTCATCCTGGCATCAGATTCATGGAGAGACCATCGAGTGCTAAAAAGAGCACAGGCTTTAGAAATAGGTAGAATTGAGTTAAAATACTACATTCACCCACTTATTGGCTGTGTGATTAAGGACACATTACTTCACCTCTGTGAGTGTGTTTTCTTATTTATATTAGGAGAATAATTTGCAGTTGTTGTAAGGATTCGTGGCGATTTACACATAGGACAGTGCCTGACATACACAGTACTTGGTAATATTAATACATTACCCATTAGTATCATAGTAAGAAAATGTTATTAATCCAAAATACGTAGGAAATGCATCACTACAACAGTAAAAATAGGAACAGCTTGAGTTCCACTGATGTGTGGCAGAAGGTTCTTCAGAAACATTAACAGGCCGGTGCTCCGAGACAATGCATACACTAGATATGATTGAGAGTTTCCAAAGAAAAATCATGTATTAGAAGCAAATAGGTTTGAACAAGGACAATTAGGGAATGCAGAGACTTACATCTACATTATTGCTGTTGTTCTTAAAGTGCTGTCGAGTTGGTTCTGACTCATAACAACATCTCACATAGAATGTGTTTAATTCTGAACTAAAAAAATAAAAACTCTGTGGACAATAAAATGTTCTGCACATATGACTATTCAAATACTGTACTAAATTATTTTAACTACAGTTAGAATTGGTACAGCCCTGTCTTCTCCTTGGTCTGTATTTGCTGGGATTAAGGTCCGTGGAATGGTGTTCTCATGAATTAATTTGAGGTTTTGGGAAGATGTGGCAGTAAAAGTCATAGACCCTTTGTAGGACTTAGTCCCTTCTTTCCTGACACCTCAGCAGAGCCCAGGCCAGAGACCTCATGTACAATGAACAGACCTCTGTGTCCTTAGACACACAAGACTCCTTGATCTTGTCTGTCTACCTGTTAGTGAGGTAGAGACAGCAGACACACGGATTTATTTGTTAAGATGAACAGAAACGACACAATGAGCAATAGGGAAGTGTGTTTTAATGGCAAGTCCTGAAATAGGAGTAAAAAGAAGACAACTAGAATACCACTCGAATTATTAAAGGAAACGTACAAATGTGTGCATTTGGAAAGAATGGGATGGGCAGAAGAAAGAAGAATACTTATTAAAGGTTCTTTGACACTTTCTTTCATTCGTTTTTGGCCCTTTAGCCATCTTTGTATCAATGTTTTGTACAGTCACCTAGAAATTGCTTGTTATAACTTTTATAGTTTAAAATCTTTTTATTTACATGTTTGAATATCTCAATTTGCAGTTAAATCTTGTAATATGGAAACTAGAATGACAAAAGTCTTCAGAGAAATAGCGTGTTAATTATACACACACACACACACATATATACATGTATTTGTGGTGTGGTACTGTGGGATAAAGCACTGAACTGTAAGGTCAGTTTGAACCACAAGGTCCACTGTTTAAACTCACCATCACTAGTCACTCCTTGGAAACCCTATACAGGGTTGGTATGAGTCGGAAGAGACTGGACAGCACTTAACAACAATAACTTGTGGCATATAGTTAAATATACACGTACATTTATATATATAACTTTAAAAAGTGTTTTTAAATTGATCACTTCTTCTGATTCCTGTAGCAACAGATTAAGATACATAGGTCAGGCATTATTATTCCCGTTTTATAGATGGGAAAATTGAGAAAGAAGAATGAAATGAACTGCCAAAGTCACACACAATGAATTCCAAGGCACAGAGCCCAGCAATCCTATTCCAAAACCAATATTTTGTTTCCATTTAACTATGATACTGCTCCTAAAAATGCTCTACAATGCCTTGGACTAAAAAGCATTGTTTCACTTTCAAACTCCTTGCTGGTTTTTGAAAGTATAAGTCTTCCTAAACACAGAAACCATTTTCTCACTTAAGAGTATGTGAACATGGCTTTCCTTAAAAAAACAACAAATTAATTTAATGTCTAGTATGAATATTTATGGCATTGAGAAATTCTGATAGGCCCATTAAAAACTGCTTGCATCAAATTTCACTATTTGAACAGCTGAATAAAAGCCTTGAAAGCTGACATTTATAATGGGAAGACTGACAAGGCATAAATCCTATAAATGGCAGTGGTTGCAGGGACAGAAATCATTTTCAAGTACCTGTGAAGTGACACTAGGGTGCAGCATTGTCCCTTTTCTCTGTCAAGGTAAAGCATTCATAGGAAATAAAAGATAATGTTCATGCAACACTGTCAGAAAATAAGATGCAAACTGTGCTCAAAAAGCACAAAACATATAAAACTTTACAGCTTCTTTTCTATTGGCAACCTTGGTGTGCCAGACCTTTGACAAAAGTGAAACTGACCCCCCTCAGTGACAGGGGAGTTGGTCCCAACTCAGCGAAGCCTGTACAGGGTTTAAAGCTGCAAATCTTCACGGGAGCAGAAAGCTTCATCTTTCTCCTGTGAGGCTGCTGGTAGATTTGAACAGCTGACCTTGAGGTTAGCAGTCCAACTTGTAACCCACTATGTTACCAGGGCTCCCTAGCCTTTGCTTGGAAGCAAGTGAAACTTAACTGTCAAATGTTCCTTGTGGTCCTTCTCACTGGTTTAATGGGCATTAACAGTGTTAACAAGATTGAGGATGTCAGTGATGGAGGTAAACAGAACTCCCAGGTGGTATTAAGAGAGGAAGAGCAGGTGCCTGACAAGCTGGTTTTAATATAGATTACTTTTCCTTTTAACAGAGGGACTTTCATAGTTCCCTCTTCAAGATCACATGCACACAAAATATATTCAATAGTCATGGGGAAGAAGAGGCCCCATCTTTTCTTCATATATACTCAACATGTAGTTCGTAACTATATGATTAAAGAACTTGATATTCAAAAGCAGGGGAGTAACATAAAAGCTTTGTGCTGAATTCAGTCATCTTATGAACTCCTGGTGTGGCGCTATACTATCAGCACTGAATTGCAAATCACAAGGTTGGCAGTTCAAACTCACCTGCTCCTTGGAAGCCCTAAACAAGGGTTGGTATGAGTCAGAATCGACTCAACAGCACTGAACAACAACAACAATATTAAAGTAGTAGATGCAGCAGTAATGAAGCAGTCCTGGATTTGGAGTGTCTCAAACAAGAAAACTGGCAAATATTCTTCATGTCTTAAAGTCACTGGGTTCTGACTTAGTGGTGGCACTGGCAATGACAGAATCTGCTGGGAAGGCTCCCAGTCACCAAAAAAAGTCTTCATTCCACTGCTTTAAGCAGTCATGTTTGAGTATAATAAAGTATATAGTGTTAAAGGTGTAATTCTGTTCTTTAGGGACACTTTTCCTTTACAGCTTTACAGGCTACAAACATTAGAAAGGCCACTGAGATTCTTATAAATTGCCACAGAGCAATGGTCAGGGTCCTTTTTGGCCTGGCTCACCTACTTTCTTATTCTTTCATTACAATTCCAAAGGGGCTTTGCCAATGCCTGAATCAACAAAATGATGCCACACTGCATGCCTGGTGGGAAGAAAAGGCCTTTACAATCTGGAGACATGAAAGCATCTATCTCCTTGTATGCACAAACTTGTAGACCTGGGTGGAACTTTGCAACTCATCAGCTATGTACAGACAACTGGAACCAAAGAATCTGAGTACAAGGAAGGATCTGAAAGAGAAGGTTAGGTCCAGAGCTGTCTTCTCACATAAATATGTTAAGGAACAAAAAGGTTAAATAATAAAAGCTAACATCTTTAAATCACTTTATAGGGTTTTTGTTTTTTTTTTAAAGTTTTTATTGTGAACTGAGTGATAGTTTACATGGGAGAACATCAGCTTTACACCGTTTCATTGCAATGATTACAATCTCCTCCATGCATCATCATTCAATAGTATTTGCTTCCATTCCCTTTGTTGTTGTTTTTTTTTGGCGGGGAGGGAGTGTACACAAAAACACTAAGGAATATATAATAATTTAAACAACTAAAGGACACATTCTGCCTCCTGGCCATCAGCACCCAGTCCCTCTCCTTCCATTTATAGGGTGTTTTAAATAACTTGCTCAATGTCGCACAGTTACGCATCACAAACCCAGGACTGGAACCTACGATTCTTGTTTCTTATTGAGGTGCTCCAAAGAAAAATGGGATTGTGTAGCATACCACCCTTTGCCCAAGAAAACAGAACAAAACTCTGCAAAAATTGACCTGGATAACCAAGGATATTCAATAGGGCCAGTAAACCCACCGGGCAGGGATGGATGACCAGGTTGCCAAGCACGGTACCTTTCATGGTGGGTGTATCTGAAGTGACCACAAACAAACAATACATAGTAAAGAAAAAACTGGAGCTCAGTCAAGCAAAGAAAAGCAGCAAAAACACCCACAGAAGCAACGTACAGTTTTCAGGGCAGAGCAGGTAAGCCACACATGTCATGATGGACTCTGAAACAACTCTTCTCCTGAGCCCCCACTCACCACACAACTAGTAAGTAAATCAGCCTGTGTGCACTGTAGCTCAGGGTAAGAAAGGCCAGAGATCCACATTATATAAACATCAGAGGAAAGTCAAGTTTAATGCTATGGATGCTGATGTAAAATCAAGAGTTATTACTTACTCCAGGATTTTTCCTAGTTGATCAACATCTGAACTTCCACGAAAGAGAGGCCTAAAAAATAAAGATACATTTAAACAAGGAATTTTCTTAGGTTACAATTTCATCATATTTGTCATTATTATTTTCTAACAGGAAGTACAACATTCTTTATGGGTAGCGAAAAAGAATGAAGACATCTTTTCTTTGATAAATAAGTTTTTCTTTCATGTTACTTTTGTTGTTGTTAAGTGCTATCAAGATGGTTCTAACTCATAGCAACTCTGTATAGTATTTCCAAGGAATGACTGGTAAGTTTGAACTGCCTACTTTGAGGTTAGCAGTCTAGTGCTTATCCTACAGTACCATCCCAAGGCGTCACCTGTATGGTAAAACTCCCCAGTTACACAACCATGAGTAGTCACACAATAATTCTAACTGCAGTATTCCAATGCTTCTCCACTGTCTGTCAACGGAGACTTACATGGTGCTGAACAGATTTCATAGAACTTTTAGACTAAGATCGATTAGGAAAAAAGGGTCCGCCATCTACTTCCAAAACCCAGCCTATAAACGTCTATGAATCACAATGGTTTGATCCACAACTGACCATGGGGATCACACAGGACTGGGCAGTACTCTTCTGTTGTCCACGGGCTCAACTAACACCACTGCCGCCCTCTTTTGCTCAGCCTGAGTGTAAAGTTCTCCTACATTTGGTGACCTGGTGAAGGACACCACCGTCCTTGTCTCAAACCAGGGGGTTCTTTGAAACTGTTCCTCCCCAGAGCACCCTTTCGTCAGCACTTTGCTCTCACAGTGCTTCCTCATGGGACTCTCGTCTTCAGTTTGTCAAAATGCTCTAGTCAACGCCCTCTGGGTCTATTTTTCTGATTAGATCCCTTCCCTTTCTCCTAGCTTTGAGGCACAGCACCAATTCAGGGCTGCAGAGACAGTGTGTCCTCTTCTAAAGCCACAGTCTCACTGTCTACTCTGAGTATTTGATTGAGCTTGCTCCGTGACATTTTTGGCACTTTCCAAAATAGATCAGTGCCCCTTGAGGGCAGGGACTCCTCTTGGTTTTCCCTTAATGCTTGTCCTAGTGCTTGAACATTACAGGGGTGGTGGTTGTATGCCATGGAGTCGGTTACAATTCATAGCGACCCTGTGCAGGGATTCTGAGGCTATGAATCTTTATGGGAGCAGAAAGCCTCATCTTTCTCCTGCGGAAAAGCTGGTAGTCTCGAACTGCGGATCGTAAGGTTCTCAGCCTGATTTGTGAACATTACAGGTGGTTTATGTTATTACATGCCATCGAGTTGGTTTCGACTCATAGTGAGCATGTATATGGTTTTTGAGGGGCAGCTGGTAGGTTTGGTCATGCAGTTCAAACTGGTGAGTGGGTCAAGCAGTTCAAACCGACCTTGTGGCCCAGTGCTTATCTTACAGCACCACACCAGGGCTCATTGTTGTTGTTAAATGCCATCAAGTTGGTTCCAATTCATAGCGACCCTGTACAGGGTTTCCGAGTCTATGAATCTTTATGGGAGCAGAAAGCCTTATCTTTCTCCTGTGGAAAAGCTGGTAGTTTCAAACTGCTGATCTTAAGGTTCTCAGCCTGATTTGTGAACATTAAAGGTGGTTGTTGTTATTACATGCTGTCCAGTTGGTTTTGACTCAATAGTGAGCATGTGTAGGGTTTTCAAGGAGCAGCTGGTAGGTTTGAACCACCGGTCATGCAGTTCAAACCGACCTTGTGGCCAAGTGCTTATCTTACAGCACCACACCAGGGCTCACTGTTGTTGTTGTTAAGTGCTATTGAGTCGGTTCCGACTCATAGCAACCCTGTATGGGGTTTCCGAGGAGCAAGTGGTGAGCATGAACTGCCAACCTTGCAGTTCAAAGGTTTTGCAGTCTGGCACATTAACCCACAGCACCACACCACGACACCAGGGCTCACAGGTATATACAAAGCCAAGTAAAATTGTGCACGGTGCTGTAGGTACTTTGTATATACTTGTGAGCCCTGGTGTTCTGGTGTGGTGCTGTAGGATAAACACAGAACTGGTTGGCATTCCACACCCATCAGCCTTTCTAAGAAACCCTACACAGGGTTGCTGTGAGTTGGAACTGACTCAACAGCATTTAACAACAATAACAACAATTGTGTGAGTGTGTTTTAGCTTTTTATTGTGAATTGGGTGAGGTTTACAGAGTAAATTTGTTTTCTATTCAACAATTCGTGTCATTGTTTACAATCCCCATCTCATCCCATTTCCTTCCTGTGGTTCCCATTTAATATCTAATTTTTTAAAAAAAATCATATTTTATGCTACATATCAAATTTCTAGATCAATTAAACATTTTCTATGTACAATAAATAAACTTGCTATGCAGGTCACATATGATGAGTGATTGCATTTCATGAACTAGAAGGCACTTGAAAAATTGCTCAGTTATAGTTTCTATTTGCGGGAGAAAGATGAGGCTTTCTGCTCCCGTAAAGATTTACAGCCTCGGAAACCCTGTACAGGGTCCTTATGAGTCGGAATCGACTCCACGGCACATGACAATAACAACAAGTTTCTATTTAGGCTTTTATTCTTGAAAGTAATAATTTTCAAGAGCAATGAAAAAGAATTCCTTGGGGGAAATTCACAGAATATCAGTAATACAGGCAAATTCATAAAGAATCATGGAGCTGGGTTCTGAAATATGTCCAGACAGGGCTTAAGAGATAGCAAAAAAAAAAAAGTTTAAACCCAGAAGATGGAAACTTAACAGCTGTCATTTCCTGAGTGCTAACTTTGTATGTGGCATGGTGTCAAGTGTACCCCAAACATTATTTCGTTCAATTTTCACAAAAATTCTATGAGGAACATTCCTAATTAGAGATGTTACGTGACTTACCTAAGGACATAGACTTACCTAAGGACAAAGAGCAAATTGCAGAATTAAAATTCAAACCAAGTTTTGTCCATTCCCAAAGACTTTATGTGTCATTACTATGTTGTAATCATTTTATTAAGGTTATTAGAGTTCCTGGAAACCAGACAGAGTTAACACAGCTCAGCCTCTGGGGTGAAATATCACAAGGAGAGCATTTAGCCAAGGACTAGGGTGTCTCACAGTAGTACCTGGGGAGTTCTGGACTCAAATTGCTTTGCAAGTGTCTTAATACAAAATATACTTAGGTTTTATAGAAATAATAGTTCTCTTTCTTCCACAGTTTTATTTCATGTTTCTATAATATCAAATTAAATTATGAAGTTACAACACTAAGTATAATGAGCATAATGAAGGTGAGGCATAAATTGACCCCTCCTTGCTAGATATAAAGAGCTCTGGTGGCCAATGGTTAAGCACTGAGCTACTAACTGTAGAGTTGGCAGTTCAAAACCACCAGCCATTCTAAGGGAGAAAGATGAGGCTGTCTGCTCCTGTAAAGATTTAGTCTCAGACACTCTAAGGGTCAGCTCTACTCTGTCCTGTAGAGTCATTTTGAATTGGAATAGAGTCCATGGCAGTGGGTTTAGTGTCCAGTGAGGGTTAGGCATAGATATCAAACAACTATAGTGGTGGGTGCCAGAACATTGATCAGTAGCTTATAGATTGTACAGAGAAGGGCAGTTAATTAGATAAGTTGGTTAAATGGCTATATAGCATCTCGGGCCCCTTACCCTTTTTGAAGAATACTGGTGTCCAACAGAGGCAGGAACACAATTAATTCCCTTGGAGAATAATGGGCCACTGCTAGGAACTAAACCAAGAGCACCTACTTGAATGGGTGCTTCTCCTAGGCAAAGGCATAAAAACATCTCCTGTTTCCATCAGGCATTGAAATCCATGCCAGAGCTCAGCTGTAGCAGTGCTGCAAGCATTACTGTTTCTGCTTCTTGCTCCCTTTTCATTCCTGGCCCCCAGCAATGTCCTTGGCGTTCTCGCTAGCTCCACTATGCTTATTTTATTTCATTTACTGGGTATTGGAGCAGAGGACTTCCAGGTCTTCTAGTCTATCACAAGAACCACAAGTTTTATCTTTATTGGTTAGAGTTGTCCCATGTTTCAGCTAAAACATGCAATGTGCTTGCCACCCTAGAGTTAAAATAGGTCCATCAGTGTGACCTTCTTGAATAAGGAGTGCAGCAAGCAGAGGGTCTGCGTTACATTTATTGTTCTGTGACCACTCATCAAAAGTTGCTATGGGAAATACTAGAAACTTTGTGGCAGCATCAGTGTAGAGCTCAGACTGACTTTCATGTCCTTAGGAAGTGCTGGTGTACAACTTGGTGTTCTAGTAACTTGCCCTGAATGCAAGCAATTAACTTGTATGAAATAGATCTTTGGATGCAAAGACATAGTCACAAGACAATGGAAAGGAGTCACGTGAAGGGGAAAATCATATCTAACTTGAATTGAGACTCTCAGCTGACCAAGAAGTAAGCGATGAATGTGAACAAATTTTTAAAACAATCTATTCAGGGGCTGAGTTCAACCACGTTCCATAGATTCTCGTTGACCTGGAGATGAGAGAGAGAAGAGGAAGGGCTGGTTGGTCTGAAGTGTGGTGAGACCTGGGAACACCTGAGTCCATGGACAAGGACATAGCCACAGAGAGCTAAAGCTGAGAGTGAAGCATCCAGCTGATATTAAGTGAGGAGAGATACACAAGAACACCCAAACTTGCAGATAGTACTCATTTGACCTAGCCTCGATAGCTTCATAATCAGAACTCGCCTAGAGGAAGATTAAAAACATAAACAATTTTTGATACAGGAAACGAGGTTATATTGCTACAATTTGATGAACTTGACCTATACTCTCAGAGGTTGTTAAGTATCATGGAGTTGTTCCCAACTCATAGTGACCCTGCACAGTGTTTCCGAGACTGCAAATCTTTAGGGGAGCAGAAAGCCTCATTTTTCTCCCATGGAACAGCTGGTAGTTTCGAACTGCCGGCCTTGAGGTTAGCAGCCTGATTTATAACCACTACGCTATCAGAGTGCCTTACTCATGGAGGTTGTTGTTGTTACATGCTGTTGAGTTATTCTGACCCATAGTGACCCTGTATAGGG